TATCTTCATAAAATCTGTATCATAAAATCTGCACCAAATGTGCATCATATATGCACAAATAATATGCGCATTCTGCTGCAGGTACGCTTGCACAAAACTAGCACCAAATATGTACAAGGAAATAATGCTGCCAGCGCCATCTCCATGCTACAAAGGTCTCTATACATTTTCTTGCTGTCGGGAAGAAGACGTGGTCTGTTCGTTAAAAACAATTAATTTAAAAAATAAAAACCTTGTGCAGAAAAAGTGCAGATCAAAGTGAAAAAACTTTCACATTAGTCGAGTTTCACTTAGATAAAGGAGTTAGTGTTGTCCCAAGTTCATGGATATCCGAGAACGAAGAAAAAAAACTACTGTCCGTTTCCGGATCCAATTCCGAAGGATTTTGAAAATCTTCAATCCGACCTAAATCGTGCTCCTGCCCAAGATTGGATTATCTACGAGGTCACCTGTATCAGAACTCATGGTCAGTATATACTAAAGGTGGTCAACTCTTACACTGGTCAAATTACTTGAGGATTTGTTTTATTAGCGACTTTATTTTATTATTCTAGAGAATTATAAAAAGATACAAAAGAAAGCAAGGAGATACATCAACAATCAGCAACTCGATTCAACCGATACAGAATTAGGACGAGGAAGACGACTTCGAAAAAATGAAAAAGCTGTCACAGCCACACTAGCCTTATGAGCACCACCTCCATCCTTGCTTCATGAAATAAATTGTGGGGAGAACTTAACAAAACATACAGTGACATTATATATTTATATTAAAGTTGTAATATATATAAATTCCAATTGTGGTTTAGGATCTAGTCAACAAGCGAACGGTCCTGTTGATCAGGAAATCCCGGACATCCGTCAACTTGAAACACTGGAAATTCCTTTCGTACGGGTTGAAGCAGATCAACAACTCTCAGAGCTGCTATCCGAATTCAGAAGTAGTTTTCCAAAATATATATGAAAAATAATAATTGTGTTTACTTAAATTATGCATTTTAAAAATAACTCTTGTAAAAATTCAGATTTTCAAGTGGAATCATTACGTAACCAGGCATTCTTACTGGAACGGGTACACAATCTGGAGAACCTTCTGCTAAATTCATTACAAAATTGAGGTACCACCCGCTGGGCAGGATGGAAGTTGCCGATTAAGACCGTAACTGATATGGATGCAGTTGAATTGTGGTTAATTGATCAATGCAATTATCAGGAAGAAGTATGTAATATTTGTATTGATTAAATTCTACTCTAGTTTATATTGTCATCGATTAATATAAACAAACAATTTATATGTTGCTTTATTCTAGGTTTTGACATTGTCAAAGGTTGGTGGTAACTCGGGTCGCTCTACGTGTGTTTACGACACCCTCCAGTGGATGATTAGTCATGAACTGGCGCAGATCCTTCGTCTCACCACTCTCACCAGTATTAGTGGAAAGACGGCAATTGGTAACAAGTTGTTTGTTAAACTTATTCGAGGTAAACAAACACAGCTTTCTAACAATACACTAACAAAATTGGTATAACTCTTTTTAAACATTATATTCGTAGATTCGGTCAGAATTGGCAATCCTGGATTAACCGATCATCAAATCACTAGCTTTATTGGAGCCTGGTTTCGCCAATCTTCACAACGAGATAAATCTAAAAATGAAAACAACGCTGGTCACCTCGCGCAGAACGCAGAAACGGCGAGCGGACAGGATGGTGGCGGCGGCGCTCAAGAGAATTCGAATCAACACCACGACAATCCCGTCAGCGACGACTTATGAAGACGCACCCACTCATTCCAATAAGCAATGTGTTGGTGATATGGCTAGTTTAGAAAATGTAGATGCTAATTTACATATAGAGCATGTTGAGAATGTTACATTACCTACTTTTGTTACCCCCCACTTTGTAATTCTAAATTAAATCAGCTAGGTAAATGGGCAACCGAATATTAGTCATAGCGCTTTGTACAAACTTTTGCAGTTAACTCGGGAATGGCTTCCTCACGACGGGTTTCCGATCGATCCGAGAACACTTTTAAAAACTAATCGACTGATTCTGATAACTGTATTTTTAATTACTTTAGGACGAAAGAAAATATTAATTTTTACCTTTGTCCCAGTGCAAAAATTGGTATTTATGTAGTTTACAACTTAGATCTAAATGAATGCGAAATTGATAAAAATATCATTTACAAGAAATGTGTTTTGGTGACCGTTAGTGATAAAAAATATTTTTGTATACCACTGTGTAATTAAGTGAAAAAATAATTTGTACAAGTAGCGTTAGTTTGTCTATCACTTATGATGAGGAAGGATTAATTGTTTGTATAATTTGTGTAATTTTTGAAGGAATAAATTAAATAATCGTTAAATATATGCAAATTCTTTTTTATACATACATATATCTGCACGCATATTATACAAAACCTGCAAAAGTTTTCTCGTGCCTATTTTGTACAATATTTTGTGTACCAGATTTGCGCTAAAATATGGTAAAGATCTAATACAAGTCACGTAGTGCATATTTAATGCAGATGGCACGCACGAAATATGCACCACTGATTGATACTAATAACGCAACTAAAAATGGTCATACTCGCAGGAAATCTGCACATATATTTTTGTACCATTAATGTACAAAACTTGCAGGACTTGGCTGCTTGGGAAATAATCCACTTACATACGAGTTCTGAAATCTGTACCATCTTTTTCGTGGAAACTCCAATTTGTTCATATCGCCTTGTCTCCAATATGTGCCGTTATCTGATAAATAGTTCATAAATTTGTTACCTATTGTAAGTTTACTTGAAGGCTCGACATATACATGTACGAGGCACTTGTAATTATCCAGTTTTGAAGAGCGTGTTTTACTTATAAATATGCGGTTAGTGTCACGAACATAACGAGTTAGAATAATTGGAAATGAGTGATTGGGGAAGTCAAATCCTTGAAAGTCTACAATGTGAACGTAACATTCAGAGAAAGGAAGTAGGACCATACGGTCAAAATTTGATATAATAGGGCGACTCGTTGATATTAAACTAGTGACAGGAATACCGAAGCATGAATTTAAATAATTTATATAACAAAATGAAATGACCCATTTTTCTAGTGGCATTTTTATTCGAGGACAACAATTAGCAAAAGAATAAATTTTGAAAGTCTATAAAACCGGTAAAAATTCGCTGGATTATCTAATATTAATTTCTTAAGGGGTGAATATCAATTTTAAAGGAAAATGGATAGTCTAGAATAACTTTTTAAGAATTTAAAGGATTTTACTTTTGAAGATCCGCTGTTGGCAGAGCCCGTTTTCACAGAGGAAATATTGCCCTGAATATACAATCAATCAGTGTGTACGGGAAAGGGAATTCGTTTACAGGAAATTAGTTATCGATCCATATAGAATAGTAATTGCTTTTTTACCTGCTCCGGTGCACTTGCAACGATTATAATCTTTTCATTATTACAACGGTTGATTATACATCACATTACGAGGCGATGATTTAAGGAAGCTCATGGACATCATAGCATAATTGCCAATTTATTTTGTCATTACAATTGAACACTATTGTCACACGTTTCAAAATCTACAAGTAACTTTACCGTTAAGAATGTCAGGATTAATTTCGCCAAGCTCTGCGGAATCTTCTCGGTATCTCAGTTATTTACTGAAAAAATTCGTTTTCGTTGCTGGGATGTCACACAAAATTTCAACCGGACAAACTATCGAAATTTATAGTATTGATACGTTGACATTGCCAATGACAAAGACCGAGGACAAAATCTTTTTTCTTCATTTTTCTTCTTCGTTCCATTCATCCTCATTTCGTTATAAATTTAAAATGCGTCGAGTTCCTCAAGCACATGCATAAAAAATCTGTTTAATGAAACACGGTATATTTATGTATTATTATTGAAACTGCATTAAAGTATTTTCCCCTTTTATAATTGTATTTCTCAAACCACTTTCGGTGCAAATGATTACGAAAGTGTAGTCGCAAAATAAGTTTTATCTTGTTTTACAGCTGTCAGAACTCAACGCGTAATTTCATTATACTTTAATCCACAAGCTTTGTTTTCACCAACAATACAATCGTTGTGTGACGTCGGTTGCCGTACAATTAGCAGTGAGACTAGAACGCGTTTTGCTCCTGACATACTGGGAGTTATTATTAGGCGTAGGCGAAATTTCTTCGTCTTATCCGTTTGACATTTTAAGTAAATTATTGGTACAAGATAGAGTTGCCGTGAGACGAGATGAGACGAGATAGAGCTCATCTCATCTCATCTCACTACTTCGTGAGATGAGATGAAACTTAAATGAGATAGTAAAAGTTGTATATCATCTCATCTCGTCTAATTTATGGTTAGATGAGACGAGACGACATTGCTGCTTATGGATCTTATCTCATCTCGGCTCGTCTCATCTCATCTCACAGCATTTTGGCGGTCTCACATGACATCTCATCTCATTTAGCGGCCGTTTCGTCTCGTCTCATCTCGTCTCGTCTCATTAGCCGAGATTGTCTCATCTCACCGGCAACCTTAGTACAAGAATCCTAAATTACGCCGCAATTAACATATCGAGAGAGAGGGTAAATTAGAATTTTAATAAAAATTTAAGTATTGCATAAGCGTTGCTTTGGATACAAACAGTCATCCATACATATGAGTAATTAACTGCTGCCAACGGATGTGATAAGTATGATATGATATCGCACCATTAACAAAAATGTTGGGATCAGTATCCCAATTAATGCAGAGGTATACCATACCTCGCAATTTCATATGATACTGGACTTACCTATACCTACTTATCTTACACCCATTAACTACATGACTTCATGACTAATGATTACGTAATTTTTATAATAACTTCTGAGCTGGAATGTACAAATTATCTCCCTCACTCAATTCCAAAAGCATTCTCGTTCCAACATCACTTAAAAAACAAGGCTAAACAAGCTGTCGCTGATCAACTTAAGGAACTAAATTTGTAAAATGGAGATCTACGAGAACCCCAGAAATCCCGGTGTGATCGAAAATTCACCAGATTTTCTAGATGAACCCGAACAAGGTGGGGTTTTGGTGTACATTGACAATTCCAATATTTGGATAAATACAATGAAAATGAGTGCCAAAATACTTAAGTTTGGAAGTGATATAAAGCAAGATCACAGAACGAGACTTAGTGTCCTCAAACTTATACGTGAGGCGAGTGAAGGAAGGCAAATTATCAGAGCGGTATTGTATGGCTCGGAACCTCCAGCAGTAGGAAAGTTTTGGAATAATGTCAAGGAAGGCAAGGTTGAGGTGAAGGTAGGTTATATAATTATACAAGGGAGAATCAATAAGTACTGCGAATGTACCCTTCAAAGATAAAGTACAAAGCTAAGATTTTACCCATTCATACCTCATACATTAACGGGGTTAATGAAATATCTCGAGCACTTTAAGGGTAAACCATAAAATATTATTCACAGTACTTCTTGATTCTTCCTCGTAAAAGCATGGTATACAAGACTGTGGCAAAAAGTATCATGGTTACGGCGACGCCATGATATGACGTTAGGTATCCCCTCCCAAAATTGACCGCGCTCTATAGCCTAAACGACTAAACTTATCAAAATTTTACAAGAGAGAAATCGTGCAGATAATTCCAGTAGATCATTCCCTTTTAGGTCAAATGTATCAAAACTTTACGTGTAGCGCGTTTAAAACCGATTCTAAACATTCAAATTGACTTTTGACCTACCTCCGGTCGACTACATGCATTGGCACGAGTTAATTTTGTGATGCATAAAGTCGTTGTGCATCCAACGTTTCATGAATTTTGAAGATCGGAGAGAAATTGACGACATTATGTCAATTTTAAAAATGACTGTTTTGTTACGGTCGTTACCGTATCTTAAGAAGTTAGCTTAACTTGAGCGGTGAGATAAACCTTCAGCAGTCACAAGAAATATGTATTTATGGTTCATCTATTAAAACGGCATCATTTTTTTGGTGGCCTTCTTATGGCGAGCATGTCGTTTTGATAGATGAATTGTAATTGTGCCAATTGTCGCTCACCAAGATTTCTATTTTTTTGAGAACTTGTACCGCTTAAAACTTTTGCATACTTAGGTTACCAGAAAGTCAACATACTCCAACAAAGAGCGAGAGGTTGAACAGAGCATAATGTTGGATATCGGAGGAGATCTTGTCATCCACCAAAATCACGCGAGGTTTGGAGGCACTCTCATTCTCTTTACGGGAGATGGAGGAATGATATCTGCAGTCGAGAGAGCTTTACAGTACAACTGGAACGTTCATCTGTGGGCTTATCGGGACACTACGGCGAAAGTAAAAACCAGATTATCAAATAGATAAGCATACATTGTTTATCTTGTGCCTTATCCTATGCTAATACATATATACTTATTGTGATTAACAGGGATATCTAGAGATTGCTAAAAACAATGAAAAATTCCAAATAAAATATATGGATGACTGTTTCAAAGAAATGGTGTTTTACACTTTGAGTAAAAAAAACTGTAGTTAGGGGTTCTTACTTACTATATGATGCGCATTATTCTTTTTTGGTTTGTAGGTTGGACAAGCAAGCATATTCCTAGTGAACGATCTTTTGTCATAACGTGAGTATTTAAGGGAATGAAAATATGTGTTTATGTTACCCAAGAATAAAATCTATTTAGAACTTATCACCTGCAGGTTTAACCGGTTGCCTACAGCTCAACGGGACGAAGTACTTAAAATATTTGTTGAAGGGGTGACTGAGCTCGTTAGAATGCCCATGGCTGGAAGGTATCTGAAGCACAAGAACGGGGAAGGGTCTGAGGATTCCCATCTAGTTATTGTTTGTAGCGTGGGGAAACATGTTTTAAAAGAAGACTCAAGAAGTGATTCTTTCCAAAACACTAACGCTCTAAGCCATCAAAGTCACAGCAATCAGGGGGCAGGCAATACTTACAAAGGCCACCACGATGGTGGAGGATTCAGTGATGATAAACAGGATAAGACAGAAGGCTTCACTTTCACTGAAGATCAGTGGAAATCCATCCCTGAAGTTTTTGGTTTCCAACCCGACGTTTCCGAAGGGTCCACTGCGCTTAAGAAGAGGGCTGAGCATTTTATCCAAGATGTACTTCACACCAATGCAAGCTTGCTGGATAACCCAAACTATGACTTTAACAGGGACGTTTACGCCAAAATGGAGGCTTATTTAGCGAAACAACATAATGCTGACATTTCCTCTGACCTTAAGGAACAGTTTGATCGATGTATCAAAACTTATGAACCCACGATGAAGTCTTTCATCGCATTCCTACAAAAAAACACGCTCGAAGATTACATACTATACGAGCTGGTAGAGTCTCCTGCAGAGGTGGATGATGGACAAGGAGGGCCGTATACCGTACAAACAAGAAAAGCTAGACCGAGGCATCAAAAGTATTCAGCGGAATGCAATCATGGCTTCAGATGTAGGGATGGGTTCAAATGGTACGTACATACTTTAAGCAGTGCAAACTGTCAACAACAGATTGACCTAAAGGTATAATTTGAAACATTTTCTTAGTAACTACTATCATTCGGATAAGGAAAAGGAAATTTTTAAAATACAAGTTGATCCTGAACGACGAGTTACATATAAGTATGTACAATGTAGTCGTTACAAAGCTGGTGCAAGTATAAAAGAGAACTTGCCTACATGTGCACTTACGCCCATGGATATTTTTGCAAGGTCTGTAAATGCGATGAAGATGGTGGTAAGTTTTTTTCTAAAGATCGTCTGTTTCTCTTTGGATAATTTCTTTAAATTTTTTTTATTATCTCAGGTCATAATTTAGCTAACTGTCCAGCACCACCGGATATTGATGAGATCGTAAATTGAATATGGCGGGGACTAAATTATTATCTCGGCAACATGTTACCATTGTTTCTTGGCTGTAAATGTATGTAAGTAAGTTTTATGATTCCGAACAGTGGGTCAGATATTGTAAGAATTGGAAGATATGATTGTCGAGTCTAGGTGTCTATGATTATTGATGTCCAATGCATGTCGTCAAAGTATCAATAAAACCCTGTCTTTGAGTTGAATAATACAAGTCGTTGTTCAAATAAGTTTATTTCAGAAGACACAATCCCTCGCCCGGAACATAGTCATAATCAATACGTAATCAACTTTTTTTATAAATTTGAAGTCAATAATACGCAAGAATGCATGATGGGCGGCTTTTAAAATTTAAGATGCCTCCGCAGAATTTTTGTAGTTGTAGTACTCATATTCTGATCATGATTGTTTTGAATTCTGGCAATTATATAAATTACAATATCATAATTGATTTCAAAAGTATGTATCACCCGTTATTTTGAAAGTCTATATTGTGCACTAATTAATTAGATTCAATAGGCTCAATTTTAAAGTCGCATCCACTTGGTCAGCGTACGAAGAACATATTCACATGCAACGCACCATTGCTTATCTCACTAGAAGATGCAAATGGTCATTACCAGACGATGCAATTTCGCTTACGATCTATTAATATCAGGAAAATTAGATTATTAAATTCTGTGATTGTAGAATTACTATTTTTTGTGGGATAAATTGGTGCTGTAAATTTTGCTCTGCAGCCTCAGAACTATTTATTAATATTCAAAAAAGAACCTTGACATGTCTCATTGCAAATACAGAGAATGGGGCATCCTTACGTGGAAGATTTTGAAAACTTTTCTTACCTATATGCGAATTTTTTTTTGATGATTAACTTGCTCTATATGATGGCCAATATTATTAAGTAGTAGCCTGCATCGCTTTTTCAAGGCTGAGAAAACCTCGCGACACTTTTCAGGCGTTATTTTTGACAACACTTTTTTGAGTGCATGCCAAAGTCCGTTAAGAGCTGTTGCTCTTCTGTGAAACGCTTTTTGTTTGAAATGTTCAAATCCGAAAAAATCCAAAGGGGCCATATAGGGAGACTTAACAGGTATGTCTTTATTTTTAATGAGCACTGGATCAACATTTTCTTTCACCGTCTTGATGTACTGTTGAGTTTTCCGAGCAATGTGTGATGACAGTTTACCATGATGAATGAAAACTTTGTGCTCTTCCCCTGGGTAGAGTCTTGGAATTTATTTTTCCACCAATGGTATCAAAATATCAGAAATATATCTGGCTTCATTTATCTTGACATTTGGAGGCACCTTCACTAACTTTAAGGGGCCACGCACCGATAACGCGCCAATGATCATGAAGTGGTCACCAAACCTCCCCAGCCTCTCGCGTACCCACTCAATAGGGACGTTTTCTCCTGGACGCACATGACAAATTGATGTTGCCCCATTGGGGTCATGTACCCTGAAGAGTGCTTCGTCGATTTTAACGACATATTCATCTCTTCCCCCTGCTAGGCGTCTTTCAACCAGCTTCTTGCGTCTGGTTTCCGATTCTTGATTTTCGGGGAGTTATGGGCGTGTAGCTTGGTCTCCATTATTGTTACTTACCCCAAATCCCTTCGAATCACACCCATGATAGTTCTGGTATTGGATTTTAACACTTTGTCCATTGTCCAAATATTTTTCGGGTTTTCCTGACTTGTTAATCGTTGGGGTGGATTTTTGAGCTTTTTCGTCCGTTCCGCAATGGTTCGTTTTTAGGAGGAGGAGTCAATCCCAAATACATGGCTTCCCTTCTGAAGCCTTCCCCACTTCGTATTGTATAAATTAGGGACAAACTGAAATCATGTTCACATGATTTAAGTCCACTTTTCATCACACTTCCGGTGCAACCTCGTGTGGTAAAGTCTTTTACTAGTACCTCCACTTCAATTGAACAGTGTGGGGTCATTTTTAAAGTTTTTTAAATAAAACAAAAAAGCAATTAAACTTAAGATTATCCTCTATCAGATATTTCAAACCGCTTGTAATTACGATTCCTATTTATCAAACTACACACGCTCAAATTCTCCCACGTAAGGATGCCCCATCCTGTATTGCAATATTACTGACTTCGCTATTATTCATTTATTAAAACGGCGGCATTTTTTGCTTAGCATCCTTATGGCGTGCATGCCGCTGTATAATAGATGAATCATAGTCTGAATTTAAATCCAGAATCTGCCTGATCAGAGACAAATCGCTTGATAAATGCAAAATATTTTATGTAGAACACAGTAATTAATCAAATCAAGTACATTTTTATAACGTCAGCAGGATATCCCGCAATTCCCCTTTGACTACATATTATGTATTGTGTGACATTTATGTGTACAATTCCTGTTGTTGTTAGCAATTATAAATCAACAATTTGTATGAATTATGCTTATTATTAATAAGAATTGATTCCATACGCAAAGTGATTAAAAGGATTGCGAGGGTGTACATAAATAATTACTATAATTATTTTTTTAGATAAGCATCATCCAACAACACCGTTTATTAAGTATGCCTGTTAGATTACATATAACTAGCAGTAACACAATGCAACGCATTACAATTCGAAATGTGATATTTTAGCAAACAGTTAATCGTATAGAACAATTATATAAATTGCCAAAGAAATATATATTGCATTATACCATGCTAGATTATTCCCAGCATTCGATCTCTCATTTTCAGTAGTTGAAATGGTTGGTGTGCTACTGTCGTTTGTGGTAGATTGTTGTGGTGTGGTTGTTGCAATCGAAGTTGATTGAGTGGACGGCACCGATGGTGTTGTTAACATAGTTGTCGTTTCTATGGTGGTCGAACTTGCAGTTGTTGTAGCAACAGTCGTAGTCGGTGTCGAAGTAGTTGAAGTTGTGGTTGGGGATATCGTGGTACTAGTAGTTACCCTGGGTGTCGTCATAGTGGTCGTGGGTGTAGTAGTTGTCGTATCCGGTAATTTATCTGACTCAGTAAATTTTCACTTTGCGTTAATATATCATTACGATAACATAAATGCATAAATTAAATACCCCAAGTGAAAGCAAAACCATTCCCTTCAATTGTTGCATCGCTCTTGAAGATCAATATAAAAACCCCACGTGAAGTTGTGAATGGTCGGGTTGGCGGGATCGTTCCACAAACTCTGGATGAAATTATTACATTTATGACATAGATTATCATGCTACTCTGGATTAAACTGGTTCTCCAAATTTAATGCAAGCTTGAAGGTAAATTACGGATTGTCGGGGAAATATCCAACAGAGCTCCCGATTCTTAAGCTGTAAATTATTAATGAATCGAATCTACACTGGACGCCACTGTCGCCTTGAATATCGACAGCTGTGACATTTATTTGCGCATTGAAATGTCCCGAGGTAATGATCCAAGTTGACAGCTCGTTGGGTTTATAGGAATCGCCGTTACCAGGCCATGATATCTCCCCAGTATCATGTGTAATTGTTGAATGGCCATAATTTCTCTCAGGGTTAGGATTACCAACATTTCGAGTGCCAAATGTCAGCACAAATCCAGTGCCAAGGGCAGTATCACCCGTGTAGAATGTGATGAACGCTACAACAACGTTGCCGCTAAAGCTAACTCCACTTTCTCTGTTAGAGAATTTCAAAAATTTGAAATTCTTCAAAAATGCGGTTATTTCAAGAATTTAGATAAGCCTTACAATTTGGAAGTATCATATATTTGTCCACTGTCGGCATCCAGAATTCTTGATTCTAGTAGATAAGCTCCTTCTCCAAAGTGGTATACATCCACTGACATGTCATACCCATAATTGGGCATTCGAATTGTCCAAATGCATCGTTCATTAGCGTCATAGGTTTGATTCGGCTTGTAGCTAATTCTTCCTGCAGACGCGATCAGTTCTCCTCCACAGGTGTCGCCTGAAAACATGGGCATACCTCGTTAATTTTGGATTTTTGAACTCACTAATTCGTCAAATACTGTGATATTTTCTTTACTCTCAACCCATGTTATGTCGTCAATTCCATCATGATTTTCTGTAGTGAATGATTTATTAAACGCATTTCATTTAAATTACAAATTATGTAATCAATTAGTAATTATAAAGGGTGTTAAAAAAGTCCGATCCCATGCATTTTTTGGAGCGTGGTTGTTACAAATTCAGCTGGAACTTTTGAACCAGTGAAGTTATTTATTTCAAATTTTTACCATGGGAGGAACAACTAAACGTGTAAGTCATGAGCATCTTAGAGTTGAGATACAAACATTGCATCAGCAGGGGCTTAAACCTACAGAAATTGTGCAAAAATTGGGCTGCAGCCGCAGAACTGTTTGGAAATGGAAGAATAAAAATTTTGTCCACGACAAAAAGCGACCAGGGCGACCCAGAAAGGTGTCACCTACCACAAAAAGAATGATTAAAAACAGACTTTGCAAGAAAACCGGTAGTTCATTACGTAATTGAGCAAGGGAGTTAAATGACTCAAAACGCTATAAAGAGAAGAAGAAGCAAATTAACTGTGTGACCATGCAAAAATTTGTGAAAACTACGAAGTGGGGTCACACAGCTTACAAACTAACCAAAAAAACCTCTCATGTCACAAAAATATATCGATGACCGTCTGAAATTTGAAGAACTCCTTCAGAAAAGTGCCCATTTGAGTGAAAAAAGACTTGGTGAAGAATTGCGCAGTCACATCCTTTGGACTGACGAATCTATTATTGAACTATATCCAAAATTGAACCAACAAAATGTTCGTTACAGGACAGAAAACAAATCGGATGTACCATCAAGAGCGATCCCAAAATTCGGGCTTAAAGTTATGGTAGCGGGTGGATTTTGTGCACGTTGCGTGACCCCTCTACATATCATACCAAAAGGCCAATCAGTCAATGCAAAGCATTATATGGAAAAAATATTACCTATCTATTTCGATAGCATGGGGAACAAGGAAATATTTCCGAATGAAAGAAAAATAGTTTTCATGCAGGATGGTGCTATAGCCCATACAGCAAAAGCGAGTTTGAGTCTCATCAAGACGCAAGTTTCAACGGTCTGGAGCAAGGGGGTGTGGGCCGCTAACGGCCCAGATTTGAATCCCCTGAAGAACCAGTGGTCCATACTTAAGGAAAATGTATACAAAGAGCCACAACCCCGGACGAGGGAAGAGCTAGTAAAAAAAAGTTCAAGATGTATGGAATTCGATTTCCAGAGGCACATTGGAAAAATTAGCACAGAGCCTTAAACAAAGAGTTGAGGGCATGGTTAAAGTAAATGGTAACAAGACCAAATACTAAGGTAAATATGTCGAACATTTTTTGTAAGTATCACGGGTAGTTTTTTTTTATACTAGCCTTCACTTTTTTACAGGAAAAATGGGATCGGACTTTATTAACACCCTGTACTTACCAATTGTCTCCATAATCCAAGACATATATGTAGTTATTTTGGTAAAAACTGCAGAGTTGTTTCGGTCAAAACTAAAATAGTGATATTCCGACAATAATCCACATAAGATGGGAGATTCAGATACTTCCGTTTTGCACAGTGCAGGGCTTCCAGGACTAAACACGTAGGGTTCCCAATTAATCTAAATAGTTATATTCGAGGCAATCTAATTAATTTTAATTTATATTAAAGCAATTTATTATGACGCTATTATTGCAATTTATGTACATACATACCGTTTCTGCACAAAACATTAGCGACGAGTTACGCGCACAAATATTGTCATTAACCAGCTTCATATCTGCTTTTTGGAGCAACTCATTCCACTCGTAGTCATTGTCACTAAACATATCCCATCCCCAACCGGCGATGATAACGTTATCTTTAAACAACAATTATCAATTAACCTTAACTCCAGTTAAATAAACGTAGATTCATAGTTAATAAAATGTTAATTAATTAAAACCTGAAGGAATAAGTTCGTCCATCGGAAGTAATACGGGTTGCACCCACTCGTCAAACACAAACGGGGGGCTTATTTTAACCAGGGCGATATCATTATCAGGTTCCCAAACATCATTTTCGCTGATTGCAAAAAACACCGTGGATTTTAAGTGTATAAAATTTAATTTGCGAATTTTTTTTAATTATTCGATATCATACAAATCTGGATGGAATGCCACGTATGAGACTCTTCGACTTTGTTCATTTCCTTCGAATATTGAAGTGTTGTATTCTCCAGCCATGAATCTTGCTCCAGAGGTAGAATATCTTAGGCAAGTTGCCGCAGTTAAGATCCATTCGCTTGAGAGAATTACACCGGAACAACGCTCGTCAGAAAACAATTCTCGTATCATGTTAGCAACAAATGGAAATTCGCCAGGAGTTGCATCATTGTATAGGAGATAATCTGATGAAGACAGTTTTAAGTATTTCAAATGTCATCACATCTCTTTTATAATTCCGAGAAGCCCGTCATGTTGAAATTTTCAGTCAGGCTCCAGCATTATGATTGCCTGTTTATATTACGAATTAGCTAATCAAGCTTCTAATGAAAGAATTTGAAGTGTACGTAATTGGCACAAAGGCATAGGTTACTAAATTTAAATGCATTCCGTCAAAATTTGGTGACTTTTTTACTCAAAAACCCCAACTAGGCAGGCACATAATATTCGTTGTATCAGTCATGTGAGCAATGGCGGACTTTTTGAAATTATGGGAAAATAAACTAAATACATCTCGAATTTCGCCCGTGTTTAACACAAGCTTATACATATTTACGCTTATTAATTAATAAGTGATAACGTATTCTTATATCTATGTACGTAACGGGTTCTCTATGTACGATATCGCAGAATAATACAAACTATGTAGGACGTAACAAACAACAAATGAATGTAGTGACAAACCTGAATTCGGAATACCAACAATGAACGGCAGGATTCCCAATAAAAATTTATAATCCATTATTTGTATTGTATATTTAGAGATCGTCAGGAATATAGTGATCAGGTTAGCGATTCCGATTATACTAATATACAATCGCATATGATGTCTCGTATTATACATATGTGTTTAATAATGAATGAGATTGAGTGAGTTGTCTGATACTGATGATGTCGTTTGTTATCTTGCTACAAATGCTTACGAAGGTGACAATATAGTTACATACCTGTCATCAGCCTGATGATACAATCTTATCATGGTATGAAGTACGCAAACACTCAAAATAAACTGGTAACAGGTTTTTACCAGGCGGTGAGTCACCACCTGGTAAAAATTTACTTCTGAGTCGGTAACAGATCTATTAATACATATGTATGCGATAGAATCATACATAGTCACCGCCTGATAAAGCCTGTTACGGGTTTATTTTGATCATATGGTTTTGTTTGATACAAGATTGATTACTTGTATGTTTATATATGTGCACAGAGAATTGGTGGGTGTAATAATGCTAATGAATTATTCATTATGAATATATACAACACTCGGATATGTGTTGATATATGTAGGTGTTTATTAGTTAGGCGTACCAGCCACGAGCCCGGGTTTGGTTGTGGAGTTTACTATGTATTACTTTCTCAATTGGTGAAAGTGCAGTAAGACACAGTGAACATAGCAATATTATTCGAGTTCTCGTTCTCATAAGTAGCTAGAATAACAGATGTTTTATTCTAATGTAGGTGATAAAAAAACTGCCAGGCTTAAACTGAAGACAAATTTAGAAAGAATTTGCAAATACTGCAATACGTCAGAGCAAACTTTCCCGTTCTGGGTGTTCAACTCACATAGTTTAAATTATATTTTTAATTTTGAAGTTTGGCATACCGATAGTGCTTGTTAAAGGAACATGATAATTATTGAGATACACATGTACATAAATTATTACCAACCTCAATATCGGCGTAAGAATTAAAATATTAGTCAGTACAAATATTTTTGACCGAAGGATCACTTGGTTGTGCTTAGGCTCAACACAATATTGAAGTATAGCCGTTTTCAAGGCAATTTCAAAAAACGAAAATTTTGTATTTTGAAATGTAGATCATATTTTAGAGGGAAGGATCTCGGTATTGCAACTCACAAATGAGTCGGAAACGAAAACAAAATTGAAACCCATACATAAGTGTGGCCTACCAGGTATTAGGTTACGCTGGTTAGTGGCCACTTCCTTTTCTCGAACACAAATATCTGCGAAAAAAAAACTTTGAAGTAAAGTAAATAACTCCACCAAATTTATAACGTTACCAATTACTGGGGACAGTTTCGAAGTAAAATTCTATGGTTTTTATGCAAAATTTCACATATCCTGTGAAACTTAAATTGCTAAGTAATTATAACTAATACAAAAGTAATAATAATAGCTCTATCTTATTAACATTTTAAATTAACTACATAAATCTAAATCTAAAACAAAATACATAAATGTCATGGAAGTTCTGACGCTTCAGATTTTGCACGCAATTGATACAGTCAAAGTCAGGTCTATCGCAAATCAACATATTATGAATTAATATCTCCTACGATTTCATTGCATGAAACCCGACACAGCGACGACAAACTGTTGACTAAAAGTTCTGGATCACGAACGATTGACTCCTTTTGCGTGCAGTTGTAGTCCATTTTGTTGACGGTTATATATTTTCAAAGAATAGGAACACTTTACAAATTAAGTATTTCTCTGACTTGGGTTTTATTGATCGCAACTCAAGGAGAACGAAAAAAAGACAGCTTCGCACAAAACTTCGAGTGTCACTACATATTAAAGTCCGCAACGAAAAACAAATATACTTGTTCAAAACAATATACAAAACTTTGGTAAAAAGTAAAGTGATGGCACTTTAGTTGAAGAACGGCAATCATTTTAGCTATTTTGAAGGAAACCTGTCCCTGGTTTGAGTCATGTGGCTCACCCACAGTTGTAACTTTGTATGGGTCGTGTCCTTACTGCCTGTGCATAATTTCAATCATTAAGTATATTATCTTGATATCTACATGCAGTCACATAAAACTAGATACAAATAAAAGTTTCATTGTTTCGACGAAAAATGTTTTTGAAATCTATTATGCTCTTGCTACTGGTAGTCATCGCAGTTAGGTTGGAGAATCTTCCCCTCGGAAACTTTGGTCACCTCGGACCCTGTGTTCTGAAATTTGTGAGTATGGGCGACAAGCTACTATTTTCCGATCTAACAGAATACCTCGTTCACGCTAACAGACCAATCGATCTAATCTACACGGTCAGCGGGAGAAAAAGGTTCTCAAACAGATCCATTCCCGAAGAAGAAAACGTACTCGACTTTAAATTCTACGAGATCTGTACGGTCACAGTTTTTGTGGGAGTTTGCATAAACGATAACCAATTCCGAATAGATTTTTTCAGTTCCACCCGAGACGCCCATAGAGGCCGGCAACATTCAAACTTTATACTAATATCACATATGCCGCCGAAAGATGTAATACTGCTTCAAAAGTTGTATGATACCCGGTTGGCGGTTAGAATTTTTGCCCTCCATGTCAAAAGTAAATTTCGTATTTCCAACCCATACCAGCTGGAAGGAATCGAATGGTATTTTATCTGTCCTTATTGCAACAATATTTTTTATCGGATCGACGACACCAATAGAGTTAAGACCTTAACTGTGAGTAACCTACAGGCACAGTGGCGTACCGACATTGGCATAGGGACCGACATGTGGACCGAATTGAAGCCGGTTTGTCGCAAGGGGCAATACTACATAACCCTTGCTAGGGCAAACTGTCCCCTAATAGAAATGCAGTATCTAAGCATAGCTAACGTACTAAATGTAACGTTTGTCAAACTACCATACTCAGAATCAAATGACTACGATTGGGGATTTTACTACCCTAGCATCAGTAGCAAAAACTATGCTTATTCCAGTCTTCGTGAACTTCAATCGTTCCGCTGTGAGGGATATCATATCAGTTACTGTAATTTCAACGTGTGGTCGGAAAATACGGATTTGGCCGTGTGGGTGTCCCCGTTTGGGAAAAATATTTGGGTTTGCACCGTCCTTATTATCCCAATTGTAGTTTTTATACTAATTTTACAGGAAGTACTTGAATTTAGAAAATGTATTTACTACGAGTTAATTAAATCCGTGGGAATAATTGTTTTTGTAATTTGTGTAAACTTTGTCAGACAAGTTTCAACCAGTAAGAATCTGTCCAGGTGGATTGTTGTGTCCCTATTTTTCACAAGTTTCATCCTACTTGCTCAGTACGAGTTGTATTTAACAGGCAATCTTGTAGTGCCCCCACCATTTGAGAAGATTCGCGCAATCAGGGAATTTTTTGACAGGGGTTATACCCTCGTATATGCAAACGAGGATAACGGAAAATATGTTTCAACCCGATCACAATTACTAGAAGAATTTCGGGAGAAGTCCTTGGGGAATTTCTCCGACGAAAAAACTATAACTATTAGGTATATCCTTAATTTACTTAACCCCTTTCCTCCCAACTACGTGACATTAACGTAGCTCAGTAACTATAACCACACCCCCAGCTACGTGAATGTGACGTAGCAAAAAAACAAAGATCTCCCCCCAACTACATAAATGTGACGTAGTTACAATTTATGCATAAATTACCTTGCCACCAAAATTTCTCACAACTTTGAACGTTTCTTTGGTAATTTGTGGAAAAACTCTATGGCAAAAAACTTGTTTTTCCTTTATAAATTTGGTAATTCTCCCCATATCAACCAATGTTAAAAATCGGATTTTCCGAGTTTTTTGCAAAAAAACTCAGAAATTCAAAACTGACTGAAACCATCAAAATTTAATTGGTTGCTACCATATGTAATTATGAAACCAACGTCGTATTGAAGGGAAATTTTATGTCGAAATCAGTAGGAGGTAAGGGGTTAATGAATTCTATAAAATAAACGCAGTGCTCCGCACTAGGAAGCGTCGACGAAACGAAATTTGGCAATTTCGTTTCGTCTCGAAAAAATTTGGTTGCGATTCGAAATTTCGAAACGAATCATCCTCTGTCTCGTTTCGAAACGAAACTACACCCCACATCGTTTCGATTTCGTCTAACCGAAAAGACATATTTCGAACGTATATAATACATATAGTACAACCTGGCGAACATGTATTTTTTATTGATTTCGCCGAAAACAGAAAATACAGAAAATATATATTTACGTTATGAGTTAATTATTTTGTCGATGACAGTTAGGACATTTTAGAATGATGACGACGACACGTTTAGCTTTTTTGGTAATGTTGGCTCACTAAACCGAAACACAAGCCCACCGAGTTTACATTTAGCATAAAAGCATTATTACTGTTTATGATAGTCTTCGCCAATGTCTCTGTCATACATATATGTGCCTTAATTTTAGACGCCGTTGATAATAATTTTCTAATTATACATAATCAATTTTACCTCTAGGTACGAATGGGACAATGGGACTGACTACATCAAGAAACATTCTCCAAGAAATGGTGTTCTCTATCGCTATAAACTTTTGCTATTGAAGTCAATGCTTCGCTTACAACATAAAGTCTTGAAGGGAAGATATGAATGTTTTGCTATTTACGACGTCGTCCTAGTGAGGGAAAGATTTGCTGCTGTGAGAAACATTCTGAGCCCTGAGATTGCACAGAGCATTAAGGGTTTGGAGTTGGGAGGGTTTCCTACTCTGTGGGAGAGAGGAATAATACATTTGCTTAGATTGGAGGCCATGCAGTGGCCGTCGATGCGAGTCGCTTCGCCCTATATTTCGATAAACACGCTCACAGACTTCTTCATCACTATGGGAGTCGTTATAACCTTAATTGTGGTCACTTTTATAGTTGAGGTCGTATCAGATGGGGAAACGCGGCGTAAATCGTGGCAGAGTGGGAGGAACGTTTGCACCCTTTGTCAGTCATCTATCACTGCCGGATTTAGAAAGTTGTGCAAGAATTTATAGCGCGAGAAGGCGGGAATGACGATAGGACGGAGGGAACTAGGTTACTAAATCTGAAGGAGATGTGTAATTAAATTAATAACAAAAA